TCAAACAATTCTACCCACTTTCCAATCTTTTTCCCATTTCCTATTTGATTGTACGATCCACTTCCACTATTTATTTATATGCATTTCCCTTTAAACTTATATTATATTTACATTTATTTATATTCCTTGTCATCGCCATTATAATAAATAATATCCCATCTACCTACCTTCATTCCATTCATATTATATTCACCTTAATTAGTGACTTATTTTCCATAATAAAACCCTTCATCAAGCTAAATCCATTTGCCTTACTTTTCACCATTTTTGTTGTAATACCCACCGCCACTAAACAATTTAAAAAATAAATTCATCTTCACATCTTTATAAATATAATTCCACCTTCCAATTCTACAGTCATTATTATATTCTCCAATCTCAAAAATTTATACTTAACTATTCATAATGTTAAATATTAATATTTCACCTCATATAGTTTAGGAATAGATCTTTCCATAATCCTTACTTTTACCCTTCTTTATAGTATCCGCCAACATTCTTTAGAAGTTCTTTATTCCAAAAAGCAATCCATTTACCATCTTTCTTTCTGTTTTAACCGTACTAACCTTACCATGAAAGACTTTGGATTTATTCCATATTATTAAAAATTTCTGGTTTATCAAGGACATCATGTAATTCTACTCTATTATTTTTAATTTAAAAATGAAATGTACACTCTCAAAATATCTTCATTTTATGAATAGATAATTTATTAATCTAGGGTAATCATGATTTGAATTTTTATTTTCTCCATTCTATCCATACTTTTGTTATAGCCCACAAAATCTTTTTCAATAATTTATCCTGGCCAATAAATTGATTTTTGGCTACTCAAATAGGTCTCGTTCTAATTATTCATTTTTTTTAAATTTAATTACATTACTTTAAAAATACTTTAATTTCAAATATGGAAAATTATATATAAAAATTGATAAAATTTGTAATATCGTGAATTCTAATTGTTAAATCTTTAAATGTTTAAAGATTAGAAATCTATAAACTATTTAAGGATTAATCCAATTTAGATTTACTTTTAATGTAAGAATTAAATGAAAAAGATCAGTTATATTTTTTTATTATTTTATATGTTAATATCTGATTGTTAAATGGAATTTAATTTTTATGAAGCCTAAATATTAATTGTTGCTAGTTTAAATTCAAAGTACTATATCTAAGTGTCCAGCTACCATCTAAAAATATGATAGTCAGATAAAAAAAATAACTTTAATGAATTAAAATTTGAAGCAAAAAGAAGATTATTCATTTGAAGATACAATAGTTGTAATGGAAGCAAATATAAACATAGGATTCTCTTAAATCTATTATTTAATTCTAATAAGTAGGGTAGGCCTTAAATGCAGGATTGAGGGAAATTTAGAATGTTAAATTTTATTTATTAGATGAATAGGGGTAAAGTTCACTTTAGTTTACCTTAAAGATGATAAAATCGATTAGATAACGAGAGGAGGTCAACATTTCAAATAAAAATAAAGATCAATTCGGAATGATTAAAAAAAAATGAATATATATTTCCTGAATCATATGAAAACATGGTCATTATAAGTAAGCATTGATTTGATATGTTTTTTCACAAATTTTGTTTAGAATTTCCATTATTCTGAAGACAAATTTGTTGAATCCAAAAAAAGGGAATAGTGGGCATACAGAATATTGAAATAGAAGATAAAATCTGGCAGTTTGAGCAATATGAAAAGGGATGTGATGATCTCAGTCTGCTTGAAATAATTAAAATAATTGACAATTTGAATCATTATGAATATCGAACTCAAAAGGAGAATAGGCTTAAATTTGAGTTTAGATTTCTCAAAAAAAAGATTGCCAGTGTTTGAACAACAAAGAATTTAACTATTTATAGATCTAAGTATATTAGATATTTTTTTTTTCTCATTTTCTGAAATAAGAGTTCACTAGCTTACCTATTTGATCATTTTCCTGCGGATTTGATCATATTATTCCATTGTTCATATCAAAGTCTTTTGATACAATTTATGAATTTAGATTTTGGTGATGAGCTACATTATGTCTTTAATATTGGATTTCTCTATTGAGTCTACTCGTGATATATGAATAAAATCTATAATTATGACCAATGAAGACATTATAAGGTAGATATAATCAAAACTCTAGTATTCTATTTCCTTATTTTTATATTCTCAATCAAGTACTTTTAGCTAAATATATGACTTAGGGTTAAAAAAAAAGCTTATAGATAATAGAAGTGACGAAGCTTTGATTAGAATTATTAAAATTTTTTTATTTAATTATAATTTCAAATTCTTAATTAAATCGTAGAGTCTCAACTAATCCTCAGTATGCTTCTCACCAGATGGAACTACTTTAGCATCTGGTGGTGGTGATTAGTCAATCAGATTATGGGATGTTAAAACAGGATAATAAAAAGCCAAATTAGATGGTCATAGTGATTATGTACGATCAGTATGCTTCTCACCAGATGGAACTACTTTAGCATCTGTTAGTGGTGATGAGTCAATCAGATTATGGGATGTTAAAAAAGGATAATAAAAAGCCAAATAAGATGGTCATGAAAATTGGATATATTCAGTAGGCTTCTCACCAGATGGAACTACTTTAGCATCTGGTAGTAATGATAACTCAATCAGATTATGGGATGTTAAAACAGGATAATAAAAAGCCAAATTAGATGGTCATGATGATTCTGTCTATTCAGTATGCTTCTCACCAGATGGAACTACTTTAGCATCTGGTAGTGGTGATAAATCAATCAGATTATGGGATGTTAAAACAGGATAATAAAAAGCCAAATTAGATGGTCATAATAGTTATGTAATGTCAGTATGCTTCTCACCAGATGGAACTTCTTTAGCATCTGGTAGTTATGATAACTCAATCAGATTATGGGATATTAAAACAGGATAACAAATACAGCCTTCAGATCCAAAATACAAAGCCCTTTTATCCTAATTCAAAATCCCCATCAATACGAATAATTCATTTACCGAATGTATAATTATTTCATTTAATATAGTAAACTCTAATTTAACCATTCTTCTTATATCCTAATAAGCCATTTTTTAAGCCTAAGGTGCTCTAATTCTATAAGGATCATTTGTGAATCAATCTGGTTTTGATTTAAAAACACTATTTAAGCAAAAAGGTACTTGCTTTGTGGAAACTTATTAATTTAAATGATTATTTATTAAATCAATATTTATGATTATTTATATTTTGATTTTAAATCTTATAGTTTTTGAATCTTCTTTTATATAATTTCATATATTGTATATCTTATTCTTCGAAATAAATAGTCAACATTAAGAC